AACACATCCCTTGCAATCCGCTGCATGATAGGAAACTTGACACCGTTGCACTTCCACCACATTAATATATCAAACTCTTCATCCAGCGGTAACAATTTCTCTGACAAGTAATCATCTAACTCGGTCTTTTCAAACATGTCATCCTCAGATATCATATTCTCAAAATCCAATTGCCATGAGGCCTTGCTTGAAGAAGAATTCCCCTCACTTGAAAGAGTAGTGCCATTTTGTCTTTTCCTTTTATTCTGGTCATGTTTCTTTTTGTACTCCTCAAATAAATCATTACATAGAGTCCTTATCCTAATAACCTCATCTTTTGAGTCCACACCATAAATCTTCGGGAAGAAATAATTTATCAACTTTAACTTATATCTAGGATCTAGAACAATAGCCACACTCATCACATCATGTATGACTCCCCAATATTTATCGAACTTAACCAACATACTTGATGTCATGTTCCTAATAATGCCATTTTCATCGTCTTCCCAACTCTTAATAGATAATTTTATGTCACATATCAAAGGGAAGAACATGTTGGAAGTGGGGTATTTGGTCCCGGAGAATGTCTCTGTCACACGATAAAATAAACCTAACTTATCACATACATTAGTCGCCATTCTCCAGTCCTCTTCAATAGGTAAAGAAACATAATGTTTCTCTTTCTTGCTTAAACGAGTAAAGACATCTTTATATTCTAAAGCCACATTCAACATTGTATAAACAGAATTCCACCTAGTCTTGCAATCAAGCACTAATTCTCTTTCACAATCTACACCTAGTTGTCGTGCAACGAGTCTAAAGTCTTGGGCTCTTTTAGGAGAACACGTCCAAAATGAGACACTATCCCTAACATTCTTGATTGTTTTCTCAATCATAGAAAACCCATCTTGCACAATGAGATTAATGATATGTGCACAACATCTCATGTGAAACAACTTACCCTTCAAAATTAAGGARGAAGGARAAAGAGTACCTAAGAGCCTGTCAACCAAAGCATCATTTGTTGAACAATTGTCAAGTGTCAATGTTGACAACTTGTTATCAATGTTCCAATCCATAAAGCACTCAATCATAACGTGAGACAATACATCAGCAGTGTGTGGAGATGGCACATGTAAAAAGTTGCATTAAAGATTCAAATAATATATTAAAATGAGAATATTAACATTGAATTATAAAAATAGCACAAAATACTAAAAAAAAAATGACCTGATAATCCGATTTTGTAACTTCCAATTGCCATCTATGTAATGTGATGTTAGTGCCATGTAACCTTTGTTTTGGTTACCGGTTGTCCACATATCCGAAGTAAGAGCAATCCTACTTTCGTTTTCTTCCAAACATCGCAATACACCACCTCTTTTTGTTTCGTATATCTTCATGACATCAAACTTGATTGTAGCTCTACAAGGCACCTTAAATAAAGGTTGAAGACCATTTGAATACTTCCGAAAGCCATGATGCTTGACAATAGAAAGTGGATAATCATGAAGAATGATCATCTTAGCTAAATCATCCCTTGAGCTTTCAGCACTAAAGTTATAATTACTCAATGAACATGTTTTTCCATCCTTAAGAGTCTGCTCTTGAACTAGAATATGTTGTCTTATGTCTTTTGTAACTCTCCTCGGACATCTCTTGAAGTGATCTTTCAAATGTGTTGTCCCATCATTAGGTCTACCGGTCATCTGTTTATTGCAATACTTACATTTTGCAAATCGACGAAGACCATCAATATATATTGCTTCAAAATGGTTCCAGACAACAGATATCAATCTTTTGTTTGCCGGTTCACTTACTTCAGTCTCAGGACTAATATTTGACCCCATAGGCATGCTTACAGATTCGTTTGTGTCATTACAAGTCGTATTACGTCCAATATCTTCTGTGTTTTTGTTTTGTGAATTTTCCATATTAGAAAAAGAATCAGAAATTACTCAATTAGGCACAATGACAACGAGATACATTCAAATTAAAACTTTAAATAAAAGCTCCAATCTTATCTCAACATACATTTAACAATAAACAGCAGTTGTAATACAAAGAAATAAAATAGTGGAAACAAACAGTAGCTGTAATACATCTTAGCAATATAAACTTAAACATATGAGTGGAAACAAACAGTATCTGTGAAAATTTCATATTTCATCTTTTTGTTATGAATGAAAACAAACAGTAGCTGTGAAAATTGCATATTTCATCTTTTTGTTATTAATGAAAACAAACAGCAGCTCTTTAACAAAGAAATAAAGTAAAGTAACAACCGTAAAGTAGCTATTTAACAATGTAATCATAGAAATAAAGCTATACAAGTTGACAAGTTGTTAATTTGTTATGAATGGAAACAAAATTATGACCTAATTATATAAGCCTAAATCTAAAACAAAAAACCTACTGACCTGATTAATGAAGAACCAAATTGATGAAGTTTGAAGAATGATTACGCTGGTCTGCTCTCTGCTGCTACTGCTCACGGCTCACCCCGCCCGATTGATGAAGAACGAGTTACGAGCCGCTGTCGGCCTGTCGCTTACAAGGTTCAAGTCAAGAAGGAAGAAGCCGAGGGTGGGTCGATTGTTAGTCTGCTGCTCACAGCTCACTCTACCAACCGTCGCTTACAAGGGTCAAGGGACAAGGGGGAACCACCGAACCGGGGAAGGAACAACGAAGGCGATGGGCGTCTCACGTCTGTACTCTGTCGCTTACAAGGGTCAAGGGACAAGGTCACAACTCACAAGGGCGTCTCACGTCTGTACTATGTCACTTACAAAGGCCAATTCCCAAAGCCCAAATCCAAAAGGCCCAAACACAAATAAGTAGTAACAGTCCTAACTCCTAAAGCCCAAATAACTATTTTATTATTTATTAATATACCGGGTACGGGACGGATCGGGGGATACAATACCCGGCCCCAACCCCGGTTTGCCTCTACCGGGGATCCCCGCCCCCGGCCCCGGTACCCGTTTTAGCGGGGATTCCCCGTCCCCGTCCGGGTCGGGTGAACCGGTTTCCCCACCGGGTCAGGCCAAATCACCATCCCTATGCCTATCTATTTGTCTGTGTTCATCAAAAACAAATTCGATTCGGTAACAACAACAATCTATCTTTTTTCACAAACCCTAATTACATAGACGACATCCAACCAAACCAATCAAACACACAAAATCGGCAAAACAGGAAAACAAACAAGATTTCCCGATCAATGAGAAAAGTGAAATCAAATTACGAAGAAGCAAAAAACTTAAGGTTTCATCAAATCCACTTTAAACTTGTCCCAAATCATGTCTTATACCACTTTCCAAGTAAAACGATGGATAATGAAATCTTACCTCTAGAGTCATGCACAACATTCTTCTTCCCCTTTTTCTTCATTTGTTGATTAATGAAGTCAATGTCCAAACCTTCATCATCAAGTTCAACTGATTTCTCTACACTGTTAGTAAACTTGGAGAAACTGTGCATCTCCCTTAATCTGTGACTGAATCGCCTCCTACCTGTCAATGAAACAGGTTAGACTCCTTAATGGCTATCGATTTCATTGTTTTGTCCATAAAACATTCGTACCTCCATTATCGCGCACCATTTTTCTTCAAAATGCTCAGTATCGATCGATTAAGGTAAGCGTATATTTCTTAATCCATTGGAGATATCCTCCTGATTGAAAGGGATGATAGCGATGAAAGGGGAAAGATTCAAGGAAACTGTTGATTAGAGAGGGAATCAATATATTTTATGTTTTACCTTTTGGCCCTTTTTCCAATTGAAAAATAATTTTTTTTAATTTCTTAATATATACTAAACTAAACTTGATCATTGATCAAGAAAATGGATGAATGGGATTAGTTTACATGGTTTACACAAATGAGAGTGGTTTTCATTTGATCACTCATATATATATATATATATATATATATATATATATATATGTATATATATATATAGAGAGAGAGAGAGAGGGGGTATATTTCAAATACAACTAATCGCATTGTTACAACGAATGCAACCCCAATTCAAACCGTGCATTTAATACTTTCCTTTTTTTCATTTTTTAAATTGTTAAAAAGTAATATCGAAAATTCTAGATATAACATATTTATTGATTTTTTTAATTTTTTATAATAATTATCCAGAATTAATGAGATTGCATTAGAAAATATTGAGATATCCTGGTTAATACACGTCTCTTGCTTCATCGATTTTTTCTAGAATGTTGCATTAGAATTTTTCCAGAGATGGTCTATTTCTTCATCGATTCTTTCCAATGATAGTTTATTTTCTTCTCTCCCAGTAGGAACAATGCCTACACCCTTATTGCATGAATCTTGTTTCATTGTACTTATACTAATGAATATAATTGCATTATTATGCTTATAGTAATGAATCTAATTGTGTTTATAGTAAGTCTCCGGAAAAAATTTGATGCAACATTCTAGAAAAAAATCGATGAAGCAAAAGACGTGTATTAATTAGGATATCTCAATATTTTTGAATGCAATCCCATTAATTCTGGATAATTATTATAAAAAAATCAATGATTATGTTATATTTAGAATTTCTGATATTACTTTTTAACAATTTAAAAAAAAATATTAAATACAACCCCTTACCATAAATTAAAGTTTGAATGAATGAGATAAGGTTGTATTGGTTGTATTGGTTGTATGAATGGCAAGAGTTGCATAATAACTTCCTTTATCTTTAGTGTGAATACTTCAAATCTTCAATCAAAAGATAAAAAAGATTGTGGATTACGATTAATCTCATCAATACCTCTGAGTTGGTACTTGTGTGGTGTCCCAACAATAGGATACGGTAATGGAGGTTCTGAAATCTCATAGCTTATCGGATGAGTATAGTAATGATTGAGAATTTCAGTCAGTATACGTGGAGAGACTTTTCTTTTATTATTCTTTACCGGGTAAAAAACCGTTTATCAACAATACATTTTGATAACCGAAAATATCACCTGATAAAATATGTGAGAATAATAACTATTAATTTTAGGTATTGTTCGGCAAAGATAAGCTACCTAGTCAAGTAAGAATATGAGCAACAAAATTAACAAAATGTAAATAAAAAAATGACATGGTATTTCAAGGTTTCAGTCGTTTATATTTGTCCGAAATAATGATGATTACATTTCTATCAATCTACTGCAAACTTTTGACCTTTGAACATATTCTTTGTCGTTTATAGTACATCCATGATGGCTTTTCTTGATGCCAACAAAAAGAAAGATTAGTGATCTTTGATCACCAAGCAAAGTAGCCTTCTGAAATGATGCAAAGTAGCTTTCTTTTTCTCTAATTCATCTTTCATAGACAAAACCATCAGAGATTTCACATACCCTTTTCTTGATCCATCTCAAATATGACCAAAATCTGGCTAGAAATATGCTTGATTTCTGCTAGGGGACTCACAAGAACTTTATCTCTATGGAAGCTTCAATGGTTTGCTGTTGGTTGGATTGATCCCAACAACAAGTATTGCACCAAAGTTGATGCTTCTGGGAACTCAAATCCCACATGGAAAACCAAGTTTTCGGCTTCCACTGATTCAAGATGCGACGATTTGACCCTCAATGTTGAAGTTTACAGCAGAGATCCTGTGTTTCTGAAAGAAAGACTCCAAGGGACTGCAAGTATTGGGTTGAAAGAGTTTCTCGATAAGCACAGAAAGAATTGTGATGATCAGTCATTGAAGCATGTTGAAGAAGTTGGTAGTTTTCAGTTGAGAAAAAAGAGTTCGAATAAACCTCAAGGATTTGTGGATGTTTCATTTCGAATTTCGCCCGAGACCAATGAGGGCAGTTCGTATGAAGGTAACTTACATATATCTTGCTTCATATGGGGTTGAGGGAATGAGGGTGTTTTTGGAATTTCATATGATCGTCGACTTGTGCAGGTGATGATGTCGGGATCAAACTAAGGATTCGCAACCACGAGGGCATCCATCGGCCATCGCCAATCGGGAACTCTGAAAATCATCTGCAGACGGATTATTACTCTGCCGGAGGAGGACAGAATTACCCTTCGTCAGGAGGACCGGGATACCAACCACCACATACTCCGTCGCCGGCAGGATCAAGCTACCACCACCCTCGAACGCAACCGCCACTGACTTATCCGTGCGCCGGAGGATCAAACCACCAACCACCACCACCACCACCACCACCTCCTTATAATGTGGGCTATATGCCATCGTCATCGATGGATAATTATATGAATATGCCATCATCATCATCGTCATCGCGACCAGGGGCTAGACCTGGTTTGGCAATGGGGTTGGGTGCCGGAGCGCTGGCAGCTGGTGCGGTCATCTTCGGAGACGATTTCGTGTCTGGGTTTGATGTTCCTACGGGTTTCACAATATCAACTGATCCTCCTTTCTAACAAATAATACTACGATTGTATCATCTTATCATCTTGCTTCCGAATAATAAAACTATGTTGAATCTTTGATGTTTGTAACAACTGGTCTGCCTTCAATGTTGAGGCTTCATGGTAGTCGAGTCGATCTGTGTGCAAACTGTTCGGACCCCTACTTTGGATTTTCATATTTCAAACACATTGGTTTTGTACAAAGACCTTGTCTTCAGTTTGGTTCAAGTTTAGATTTTGGACCATTCTAGTTTTACATGCCCCTTTTGGTATGTAAAAAGAACATTACCGTTGGTCAGCGCTTCGATAAGACAGAACATGATAGAACTGTCAAAATTGATCAATTTATTCAAATTGAGTTGTTTAATGTTTTTTTATACTAAATAATCAATTTAAATGTTAACAAATACTATTTAAAAAAATATATCTAATAAAAAATATTGTTTAAAAACTGACATTCATAAATCAAAAGATTTAACGAAATAGCCATTTTTTTCCAAAAATTGTCAAAATAACCATATGGATCCGGCATAGTTTAACCATGCGGGGATCCTATTTATATTTGACTAAATAGTAAGAAAAAATATAAAAAATTAATTTGGTGGGACCCATATTATCTACTTTAGGAAACCAATCCCTATTTACCTCGATAGACGGGATCGCCCCCCACCTCGCCGGATTCACCCCCGGGGGCGGTCCATCTTTTTACCACTATTTTGTCTTTTAGTGTATATCGATTAAAGGGTGTTTATAATTAATAGGAGACGATTTAAACTGATTTTTTTACCGTTTTAAGACCAAATGTCATGGGTTTACTTTATAAAAATAAAACACTTCTGCTCTAACAACCCATAAACACAATCTACCGTGACAACCCTCAAAACAATATGATTGTACGTGAAAATTTCTAATTTTTACCACTTTTATTAAAACGCATAAATTAACCAACGAATGTTGTTATATTTTCTTATAAGAAATATATTTTTACCACATTAAATATTGGTATTTTATAATAATTGTGGACACGAAAAAAATTATTTGTATCTGATTTGGGAGACAAAAATCAAATATTGTATCTGATTTACGTAGTTTGACCGTTATTTCGTCTTTTAGTATATAAATTGATTTGACAATTAAAGAGTGTTTTTAATAAATAAGGGACGATTTAGACTGTTTTGTTTTGACTATTTTAGGACCAAATGTCATGATTATACTCTATAAAATAAAATATTTCTACTCTCACAACCTGTAATCCGTAAATACAATCTACCGTGACAACTCTTAAAACAATATGAAAGTACGTGAAAATTTAAAAAATTTACCATTTTTTTTAAACGCATAAATTTACCAACGAATGTTTTTATATTTTCTTATAAGAAATATATTTTTTATAAACATTGAATGTTAATATTTTATAATAATATTTTAAAAATTCAGCTTAAATCGTCTCATGTTTATTAAAAACACCCTTTAATCGATATACATTAAAAGACAAAATAGTGGTAAAAATGAATAAAAATAAATGATGGATCGCCCCCGGGGGGAGATATGGTGAGGTAGGGGGCGATCCCATATATCGAGGCAAAATAGTGTTTGGTTTCCTAAAATAGATACATGTGGTCCCCGTAAATTAATTTTATATTACTTTTTTTGTACTTTTCGTACTATTTGGTCAACTTTGAAGAGGATCGGCCCCCATGGTCAAACCATGCCCCCCGGGGGTAATCCATATGGTTATTTTGGCAAATTTCGTAAAAAATAGCTATTTCGTTAATACATCAGGTATATTCTGGTCGTTTTGCTGATTTTTCCAAGATTTAAATACCATATTTACCAACACACATCTTACACAAAAGTTGAAATATATACTATTGTATACCAAAAGACTTAAGCACAAAAGTTTAATGTTTACTATTGTGTACCAAAGACCTAAACACAAAAGATCAAATGTTTACCAACTCACATCACATGTCTAATTTCTTTAAGATGACCCTCACAAATCTTAGCTTGAAAGTAGCATTCATGTCATTCCAAAGACGTAGTTGAATCGGGTTATCTGTAAAATTCATGCTAATAGCAATGATTTGGTCACCATCAAAACCTATGTCGCTTAACTCTTCGGGTATACTTTGTAAACCCGGAGTACCAACAACTAATATCAATTTACCCATTTTCTCAAATAACAATTGCAACCCATTTTCAATCATCTTGATTGCATCTTCAAAAACATCAACTTTTCTCTTTCTCTTTTTGGATGATGTTTCTACGTCTTGTGGAACAGAGGATGCAGAAGTGGCATTAGAATGAGTAGACAAAGGCACGTTAAATTCTTCGGTCTCAACACCGGCTTCATAAAATGATACAAGATGGTCTAAAACAGTGACCAAAAGCTATGTAACAAAATCCATGTGTAACAAAGACACTGACCAAAATCAGGAAATATACACAATGGTCAAAATCGATACAATGGCCAAAATCGATGCACAGTGACCAAAATCGATGCACAGTGACCAAAATCGATGCAGTGGCCAAAAATATTGACCAAAATCGATGGTCTTTAAACCAGTGGCTGAAATCAATGGTAATAGTATCATAAATCGATACAGTAGCCAAAAACATTGACTAAAATCGATTTCAAAAAACAGTATCCTAAATCGATTAACATAAATCGATTTCTGAAACAATATTATAAATTGATGCATAAGAAATCGATCTCAAAATTACCTGAGAGGATAAAGACAAGTAGAGGAGAGATCGATCTTGATGAAGGAGACGAGTAGAGGAGTCGACCTTGATGAAGGAGACGAGTAGAGAAGTCGACCTTGATGAATGAAGGAGACGAGTAGAGAGGGTGGAGGCGGACTGGTGAGATACGTGTTTAGGTATTGTAATTTTAGGGGTACTGGTCAAATGCTTCCTTGTTCCACTTAGTTCTAGGGGGTTAGGAGGGACACGCTTGTTCCACATCTGTTCCAGCTAGTTCCACTTTGTTCCATATAAAGACACGCAACATGGGGCAAATGTGTTATGTCCTGTCCTATCCCACCCTATTCAACATACCAAACGCACCCTAAGAGACCACTTTTCGTCTATTCCTAAAAGTTTCATCTTAGTCCCTGTACACAATGTATTTACACTAGTTTTTCTATATGCAAAATTTATAGTTTGACCCTGTGTTTTAGACATCTTATGTAACTTACATACATCTCAACTAATCCTACAAACTTTTGAATTTAACACCTAGGGTTAATTTCACTTTGTTCCATTTATTGTATGTCAGATTTCAATCTTCAAGATTTTGGTTCAAAGAATGGAATTTGATGGGATTGAAATCCATAAAAGGAATTTGACTTTAAAGGAATTGGAATGAAATTTGATGGAATTTGACCACACGTTTGGTTGGTAGGAATTGGACTGAAATCTCTCAAAAGAATTGGAACAATCGTCTTTGTTTGGACTATCGCACACCGCCTACACCCTATCAACCACCATGTCACTACTATCGTCACAACTATCATCCCGCCCCACTCCTACCTAAACCCTACCGCACCACCCCAACCCTGTTCCAACCCCGTCCTCACCATTCCTTCCCCTGCTCCATCAGGGGGATGTTGGGGCAGGCAGGGTGAGGCAATACGGTGGGGTTGGGGATGGAGTGGGGAAATGGGTGGCAGGGTGGTAGTTGTGACGACTATAGTGGTAGGATGGTGGTTAGTGGTGGGTTGGAGAAGGGTRAGGTGGGACAGTGGGGATGGGWARGGGTAGRTGGCGGGGTGGTAGCTGTGGTGATGATAGTGGTGGGATAGTGGTTGGGTGGTTGGGACGTGGGAGTGGGTGGGTATGACGACAATAATAATGGCATGGTATCTAGTGGTGGGTTGGGGTAGGATGGGATGAGGATGACAACAATAGTGGCATGATGGTTAGTGGGGTAGGGTGCGGATGACAAAAATAGTGGTGGGTGGGGGTGGGTAACAGTAGTAGTCTGGTGGTGGTGGGGTGTTAGGGGTGTTAGGGGTGAGACATGACGAACAATAATAACATAGTCATGGTGGGTGATGATGAAATTCAATTCTTTTAATTATGCCAAAAGAATAATGAATTCAATGAAATTTGAAAGATTTCATTCATTTCAAGAAATGAATCAAACAAATGAATTTATCATTCCAATTTTGCAAACCAACTGGCACTAATTGTTTTTGTATAAAAACTAAAAAAAGGTTTGGTGGATAGGTAGATAAGAGAGTGGTGGTTGGACCAAAAATTGGGTGTTCCTTGTCTTCTAGCAGCCTCTACGGGTTCCTTTATCTTATAATAAATACTCTTCATTTTATAAGATTGTATCAATCTATACTATTTTATAAAGCATTTGGTTAAAACTCTTAAAAACTCTTAAAACTTTTAAAATCTCTTAAAACTTTTAAAAACTCTTAAATCCATTCATCCCTAAACGATTTCATCCTTATCCGATTTCATTCCATATCTGAATTCGTATAAGTAACTGCAGATAAACAYAATCAAATATAGGATAAACATCTCATTTTAAATATAGAAAATCATAAATATAATTAGTATAATTATTAAATTCTAACAGAATACTTAATTATTATATTTATAAAATTTATAATATTAAAACAAAAATAAATTGTTTTATTATTAAACTTAAATTAAATTATATATAAAAAAATGTATTTTATATCATAAATCATTTGACAAAAACTCTTAAAAACCACTTTTTATGCGTAAAATATTGTTTATTAATGCATATTACTTAAAACTCAAGATTACAAGTAAATTGTGCATAGGTACAACTTATTAAAGCTTCATATCTGAATTCGTGTAACTAACTGCAGATAAACACAATCAAATACATGATAAAC